AAGAGATTTTAATGTGATCTTTGAATGATATCCTATGCCTCCCTGGGGCACAGGCAACTCCCCACCTTTGATTTTTGTGGACAAAGTTTCACTTTTGAGCTTACAGTACTGTTTGATAGAGAACTTTGTTAACATTCATGATTAATGATGAGTTATATATCCACAATGTCGTATCCCTGATGAGAGATTCTCTGGGAAGGTTACTTTGAAGGGGCACGCGACAGTGATAAACGAGGGCAACATCCATTGGAACATTCACACTCATCCCATAAGCACGTAGGACAGAGTGGACTGAAGTCTGAATCACCTTTCTTGGATCAACTATCATTTTCTTAGGATTGATTACCTCTTTCCTGTCAGGCTCTCTGTGAACATGCTGTAGTATGTTAATACCTGGCACAGTGTTCCAAGATGAAATGTTGAACATGGGAGTGGTAATTGTTTCTGGAAAGATATGGTTCTCAAAGAGAAAAACACCAGTTCCTGGATTTTGCTCCTGAAGACTGCTCATCATTGTTTTCCAGTCTGAGTGCTTAAGGGGAAGAATTATTTCATCAGCATCATTAAGAACCACAAACCTGCTCCTCTGCATGTTGCGGTATATACAGTCATTTAGAGCTGTGATTTGTCCATAGTAGCCAATGTGTGTTTCATCTTGCATGAAGCGCCATTTAGGAGAAACCTTGAGATATGAGTTTATTGGCCACGGAATTACCTCTACTGTTCCTTCTTCCAAATAAAACTTCAGGACTTTCTCCATCATCTGGCTGCAGTTGTTCTTGTAGATCACCACTTTCTGTGCCCCAAGAATCTTGTACATTTCCATACTCTGTATAAACTGTAAGACATTGTTGTAATTTCCAAACATGGCAGAGATGCATACTGTAAAGTCAGCAGAGAAGGGCTCTGCTTTGCGGTTTTTTATTTCAAACCTCGATAGCTGGTCAATATCTCCATGTGGAGACTGATGAATTGATACGTGTGTTGGATCACAGTTTCCAGGTTCCAAGCAAACTATATCTGCAGCACCATAGGGGAATCCAAATCTGTCCGAGTGAACATCTATTTCTGCCTTTGATATGTATATCTTTCCAAGGGGCTGACAACAAAACCAGCAGTATAGTTCTTTGACATCTTCATGGTGAACAATCCCAATCACACGTGTGACTTTGCCTTCTCTATCATCAAAGTATGGGGAGATGATAAAAGTTCTGTTATCCTTTAAGGGTGTTATTGTGCTATTTGCAGTTTCCCCTCTACACCTACTACCTTCTTGTACTATTTTTGGCAGGTGAATAAGTCTCTGTAATCTAAGATAAGAAAACGTGACCATTGATGTTAGTGTTATAATGCACACAGCACCAGCGAAGTAGGATTTTTTTCTGCCACACAACATTTTGAATGTATCTAAATATGGATGCAAATGTCTTTGTCCTTGCAGTTTGCGCTGCTGCATCTGTAGGAAAGAACATGTTAAATAAGAGATATTACAGACTTGAAAAAAAGCTATGGGAAACATCTCTGTCACTTCGAAGTGACTTAATCAAAGATCCAGCTACTGTGCTTTCATGAAAAAATAATAATGATGTACATAGTGTTTGTAATGGGATGGATGACACTGTCTGCGACACTGAATATGCCAGATGCGTGTAATAATTTCTGCAACTTGAAGGTTCTTTAAGTACTGTAAGAGAATATTACAGAGATTGATATAAAATAGAATAAGAATACATATATATATGTTTTATAACAAATATTTTAGGACATTCAATCAAATAATCAGGGAGCAATTTTTAAACCAAAATTAATAACATTTTTTTCAAATAGAGTTTATGTAAATTATATACAAACAAAAGTGAACCAGACTTACCTACAAATGTGGGGCAGACAAATAAATGGAATGCATGCAGAATTAGTTCATCAGCTCTTGGACTTCCACTGCTATGGGAACAGAGGCATTTCTGAGCACCTATAAGGCCAAAGTTCTTGGCAGCACTCATTTGTTAACAGCTGTTAACATCTGACAGGTAGCCCATAGCACTATCAACTAGTTATTTCTGCCAAAGAAGCTGAAACAAAAGTTTCCTATACAAATTCATCATTAGTAATTCAGATGTGATCCATAAAAGTTAAGGTGGCAGCAGTCTCTTTAAAGACCTGCATGTACCACAATGATTCTTGGAAGAAGCATGCCCCATATTAATTCAAATTGAAGTTAGATCAGAAAACAGGTGGAAGAAAGTTATCCCTGACTTCCAGCAGGAAGATTAGGGTAAATTACGAAGATGGAATAAATTGATTCTGTTGCACAAGATGAAGAGAATGTTTCTAACGGGCATGAAAAAGAAACAGCTGCTGAGAAAAACAAACAACAAAATGCACCATTAAAAGACCTAGATTTCCATGGGGAAAAAAAAGTAGCATTGCCACAGGTATAGTAGATTTTGGAAGATTCTCTTATTTTTTTTTTTTAATCCCTCCTCCATTCTTTTCCAAGGCATCATAATAAAAACCACTTACATTTTTTGCACTCCTGTATTTTCTGACTGTATGTATGTTAGATCTCTAACAGTGCTTTTTTTTCCAAAGCACATTGCTCAGGCAATTGTAAAATAATAATTAAACCTAATAATTCATATCTTTTTTTTCCCCCCACATTCCACACATCGCCTAATGCTGTTTTGAGAGCATCTATCTCAATACTGCTTTGTAATGGAACAGAATACTAACACATTTAAAGAAAAGTAAGAAAAAGAACAATAAAGTACCTAAACACCTTAATCCATAGTTTTGATTAAGTTATCATACTAAGCAGCTTCACACCTTTGGAAGTGCCTGCAATCACTGGCAACTTAACTGTTTGGCTTGAAAAAAAAAAATCTCATAGAGTCTGGTTTCCTGCTTCAGTAGTTTTCAACCAGAAAAAAAAAAAAAATAATAATCTCACTTCTAAATATTGCAACCTAGATTCTGAATTTCCTAAATAGGAAAACAATATTTGACCAAGTCTTTAGAATGATGTGAAATATTTGCCCAGTTGTTCTTTCCTCAAAAATCAAAGCAAAGAGAACTATGCTTACAATGTAACACTTAAAAAGCCTCATTTGCCAAGGATGATATTATTTCTAGCATCCTTTAATATATTCAGAGAAAGTTCAGATAAGAACTGTCAGAAGCATCAGAAATCATACTTAACATTTAACATTTTTCTTGACTATGTCATTACTTAACATACTGATCAGTCTTACATGCTAATTAGTTTTTACTAAATAAATATCACAACATATCACCAATAAAAATACACAACTAATTTATTACCTGTTATTTCTCTTGCATTTGGTGGCTATAAATAATGAACAACAGAAAGGCATCTTTTCAACTGTGCTTCAAAAAGTGAACATGTGAAAGAGAAAGCATCTTTTAAAGCAGACAGACAAGGTTTTTTTTTTTTTTTTCCTCTAAGATAAAGAGCAAGAATTGTTCAAAATAGTACAATATTGAGGGAAAAACAATCCTAGTACAATACCTAAGACACTTGCCAGTACCTTCTATTTCAAATGGTTGGTGTTCTGTAATGTGCGTAATAGTAACCACACCTACCTGAGAAACAAGTTTTACTTCTCTTACGCAAAGAACACAGCTGCCTCCCAAGAATTTCATTTACATTACAAACTTGAATATGGAGTTGTTCAAGCAAATCAAACTAGGCACTTGGGTGGGGTATTTTAGTGCTACTTCGGTAAGTTTTCTTCTGGAAATTTAATCCTGCAGTTCACATGCATATTTGAAAATAACTTTTTAAATATATGTTTGTGCTTTTTTGTTTGTTTGTTTTCAGTAATGCACGTTTCTCTTTCTGTAACATTCTATCAGCTCAATTGAGGTAGGTAATTACATGTTCTGATGAGGAAGTGTGAGAGACATCTCAAAACAACAACAGATTCCAAAAGCAAAGACAAAGAACTGAACAAAGAACTCAAGACACCCCAGAAAACTGAATGCTGAAGAAAATAAATACCTAGCTATTTTGTAAATGACATTAATGGTCCTCCTGACACGCGATTCATGAATTTGCGTCTCCTGAAATTAACAGCAGAGAAATCTAGTCAGGAAATATATAATGTCAGATTAACAAGGAACAGTACATTTATACTTCCTCAGTATAGAGAGTACTTGGTACCTCAAAACCTCAAAAATATGCTGCCAGCATATTTGAAAGACTTTATTTTGTTTTAATAATTCATTCAGGCTTAGTGCTTTAATTCCAGTTACAATTCAAATATAATATGATTCAGATTTGCTTTAATACTAAATCAATCTAATGATATCATTATAACTGCTTTGCAACAGTTAGTTCTTCTTCAGTATTGCTACTAAGAGTAAAAAGCCTTTCTTCCTCCCTCCTGCATTAATGGACTGCAGTCATATCTCCTTTCAGTCTTCATTTTTATTACTTTTTCATCAAGCAATACAGGATGTTCCAATATCTTACAAGAAACACTCCTGACCAATTGCTTTTGTGCAAATGGCCAAGTTTCAGTTAGTCTCTAGCACAGGTGATCAGAAATATTTGCAAATGACAGTGAAAAAACTTTACAGTTACTGGAAATGTTCTTTTTAAATATATGCTAAGATTTATACTTTTTGCATATGCATAACATTGGTCAGATGCATTTGAGCTTGTCCTTTGTTGCAAGCTCATAATAAAGATTTCTTGTCAATTGAGTTAATGCTTTTTGTTTGTTTGTTTTTGTTTTTTTCTGTTTTTGTTTTTTGCAGTCCTTCTAAAAATTTCTAAAGCCCTGTATGTGGCTTTAGAATTCCCATACATCTCAATCTTTTTTTTTTTTTTTCCTTTCATAAACAAATGAATTACTCATATGCTTTCTATCACATGCTGTACCACTACTATCACAACACACTTATTAAACATCTGTCATTGGTCCTTCACTATCTCATCTTAAAATTTTGGGATGGGAATTATTCAGCATTGGCCTTCAAATGGAGTGCTGTTTTTACCTTTGCAGTACAACTTCTATTTTCAGATCTACTCTTCCATCATCTTTCGTATACATCCCACAATTAACAAGCAAAGCAAAGTGCTAATTTAGTTCAAGAGCCATTCATTCACAGGTCATTATTCATTTTTCTCCACATCTCCTTGGCACTGTATCTTTCCATTGTAGTTTGTTCAGTACAGTGTTGAGACAGCTGAAGACAGTTTATGCTGCTCATCTCAGTATTTTCACAACGTCTACATTGTCTATATATATATACATATATATATATATATATATATATGCACACACACTAATATATACATGCTATATACATGTTTATATATATATTCTAATAAATTTCACCTTATTCCTCTACCTTCCAGCCTTAGGGTGGGTCAGGGCAAAACAAATGCATTCCAAAGGGTCAGTTGATAGAGGTGATTACAAAACTTCAGACTCCAAAAAGTAGCAGTAGAATTAACAGAACAGCAACACTACACATTCTAACATTTGTGTATCTGGGATCTACCTAAAACAAGTCCACCATTAGTGAAAAGCCTTATTAATTTATTATTTGTCATAAATAGCATTCTCTCTTCTCTGCTTTATAGCTTTGCCAAAAGCAATGGCACAAAACACTGGTGTTTAAATTGAAATAAGTTTCAAAGATTGACAAACATCTTGAACAAGATTTTCATTTTTTTTTATTTTTTTATTTTTTTTATAACTATCTGATGATAGTTTAAATTCTTCTCTTTGAAATGCCAGTGTTCTCCCTCTTTTACATGAATCAAAGGCAGAAGCATAATTTTTGAAGGTTTAAATTATTTAATTACTGGTGTTTAATTGCTGGTAAAATATTGTTCTATAACAATTAAACCGGTTATTTCTTTCCTAAATACAAAGAAGCCAATATCATCTACTTAGTTTGCAACATGACCTTTCCCTAGCCACACCTTTCTTGGAACACACATAAACACTCTGCTGTAAAACAAAAAAAAACCACCAATTTCTCATTTTGTAAACAAATAGGCTTTGCAATCTTGGACAGAAACAGACCAGCAAAAGTTTCACAACAACATTTAATATTGTCACTTCAACTTATAATCTGTATCAGTATTGGCTGGGAGAGATTTAATTTTCTTCATTGTAGCAAATAAGATTTGTGACTGGAACAGTGTTGGTAACAAAATGTTTTAGTTACTCATGAACAGCGCTGACACAGAGATGAGGCCTTTCCTGATTCTCACCTTGGGCATCTGTGAGCAGTCAGTTGGAGGTGTACGAGAAATGTGGAGTAAAGACAGCTGGGATGGCTGCCCCAAAGCAGACCAGAGGGGAGAACACAGTTATAGCGTTTGTTTTCCCAAGTAACTGTTACTCATGATGAAGCCCTGCTTTCCTGCAAATGGCTAAACAGTAGCTTTATGATGGGAAGTAGCAAATGAATTCCTTATTGGTTATTCAGGAAGTTTTGCTTTATCCGTAACACTGCCTTTAACATGGCTAAGCCCATGTTTTCTCATTTTTACCTTTCCACTTCTGTATCCTCTGCCGGGGGAGGGTGGAGATGTGGTAACAGTGCATCTGCGGGGGGCTTTGCTGCCTATCAGGGTTAACCACAACACACTGAAACTGTTCTCTCAATAAGTTATGCATTCTCTAAATGTAAAATTACACTCCCACACTTGGAGTTTCTTCGAACAGAGATATATATATTAAAAATTTGTCTTTTATGATTATCAAATATTTAAAACATACCGTTCAGATGTTAGCAACAGTATCCCCAAAACAGGACTATCACCTTTCTTATTTGCTGTTTCTTTAACTAAAAAAATAGCCTTGCTCCTGGTAAACGAGCCCCTTTTCCAAGTGGTGCACATTATAGAATCCCGTATAGGAACCTAAAGACAGAAGCCCTTACTTACCGCGCGGCAGAACCAACTGACGAACGTCTCGGCAGCAGCGCACCCTTCTCCGCGCCCCACGTTCACCGCTCCGCGACTTCGCCTTTCCCACTGCAGCAGCGCTGCTGCCGTCGGAGCCTCGTGCGGATACGAGAGCAGAAGGGGAGCCCTCGCGCCCCTCCCGAGCTAACTCTGCATCACCAACAGCAGCAGCTACTCCGAGTACCTCTGTGCCGGCTCCGCTACGGCCTCCGCTGCCGCAGAGGGAGGAAAGTCGGGGCCGCCCGCTCCTGCCACCTGCCGCTGGGGAAGGCGGTGGCGGCCGTAGTTGGGATTCGAGTGCCTTGGGCAGCGCTACGGCCGCGGGACGCCCTGCGAGCGGCTGCGGAACCACGTGCTCCGCCCTACGGGGCCCAGAAGGACCCGCGCTGCTCTCGCTCCTGCGCGCTCACCCCCGCCGGTCCGGGTGGAGCCGTTCTCCCGTACTCATGCACCCCTCGCCCGGGGCTGAGTCATAGCGTGACGGCGCGGCCTGGCGTAGCCCCCCGCGAGAGCCAGCCGGGCCGCGGCGAGGAACTCGCTTGCGCCTCTGGGACGCAGCAAAGCGAAGCGTCTTCGCTGCAGCCGCCCGCGCAGGTTCCCGATGCAGCCGTCGGGGAGATCCTAGGCAAGAGCGCGAGGCGGAGTGATGTCTCTCGTGTCTCGGCCCAAAACCGATCCGGAAGCAGAACGGGACCACCGAACTGCCGTACGGCAGAGCCCTTCGTGCAATGCACGAGCCCGCTCACATCGATCCAGCAGCCGTGCAAGGGGACATGCTCACTCATCAGCATACAGAGATTACGAGCAAATAGCACGCGAAGTACTGTAGAGATCACAGTGGAGCCAAGTTGTGTTGGAGAAAACTGCGGACTTCACCCCAGAGACAGTCAGATATGTAATTATCTTGTGTAAAATAGAGAAATATAAAAAACAACAACAAACAAACAAACAAAAAAACAAACTGCCAAAACAAACACTAATAAATTTTAAGTGAAGGGAAATTTGATTATTACATAATGATGAAGTCTAGTAATTTGCACCAGTAAATTACACAGCAGTTGCTAGCTGAATCATTCCTGTAGTAAAATTGTGCTGGTATTCTTACATTCATGCTGGATCTGCAACACTAACTTGTAATGTTGAGTTCCATACATTTTAGTTTTCTTCTTCTGGTAGACAGATTAACTTCATGATTGCATGTTACAGAGAACATAGCATTAAATGTCTCTTGCAAGAACTCTAAATTTCATTGCTGCACTTAAAACTCTTAACTTACTTAGTAAGTTTCACTTTCACAGCCAAAGATGTATATTACATCACCAAAATGATACATCCCTGTTGAGAATTATATTATGAATTTGATTTGTAAGCTTTTCTGCAATGTTATGTAACAATATCACTGGGCTCTTCCCAGCCACATGCAAACATCTCTAGAATACAGTGGATGGATCCTTCAATCACCCTTCTTGGATCAATTATAGTTTTTTTTTTTTTTCCAATTTTGAAAATTGCTCCCTTGGGCATCAAGCCAAGTGCTGTGGTTGACACAGATGGAATGGACACCATCCAGGACCTCAACAAACTTCAAAGGTGAGCCTGCGTGAACTTAATGAGGTTCAACGTAGCAAAGTGCAAACTTTCACACTTGGGTTGGAGTAGTCCCAGATATATATACAGACTGGGAGAAGAACTCCTTGAGGGTAGCCCTGCAGAGAAGGACTTTGGGATCCTGGTGGATGAAAAACTGATCATGAACCAGAGGTGTGCTCTTGCAGCACAGAAGGCCAATAGTATCCTGAGATCCTTCAGAAGAGGGGTGGCAGGCAGGGATGGGGAGGTGACTGTCCCTCTGTACTCTGCCCTCATGATGCTCCATCTGGAATACTGCAACCAGGTGTGGGGCCCTGTATGATCAATCAATATACTGACATTATAATTAAGAAACATACAAAAAAGTTAGGCTAAGCAGGTGACCATGCTAAAGAAGAATGGATGGAAAGCTTACCCTTATCCTGGGCTCGCTGAGAAAACTCCAAAAGAAACAATCTCCAAAAGAGATCCTTCACCAGTGATAGTCAGCATTTAAATGGGATCTAGAAGAGGTGGAGCAAGGCTCCCCTTCTCATAGCACAGGTGAATTGCCTTCACCTGTGCTCCCACGGATGACTCATTGCTCACCTCAGGTGGTCAATCAGAGATTCAGGCCATGATTCAGTAGTTCCCATACAGGCCTCCAGTACAGGGAAGATGTGGAGCTGTTGGAGAGGGTCCAGAGGAGGGCCATGAAGATGACTGGAGGAATGGAGCACTTCCCATATGAAGACATACTGAGAGAGCTGGGCTCATTCAGCCTGGAGAAGGCTGCAAGGAGACATTGTTGCAGACTTCCAGTATTCAAAAGGGGATTATAAAAAATGAGGGGGGTCAAGTTTTTACTTGGGTAGATAGTGATAGGACAAGGGGGAATGCTTTTAAGCTCAAAGAGGAAAGTTATAGATTGGATGTAGGGGTAAGTTCTTTACCAAGAGAGTGGTGAGGTACTGGAACAGGCTGCCAAAAGAGGCTTTGGATGCTCAGTCCCTGGAAGTGTTCAAGACCAGGTTGGATGGGGCTCCAGGCAACCTGGTCTACTACCAGATATAGAAGTTGTTAGCACAGCCTGCGGCAGGAGGCTTGGAACTTGACCCTTGGAATCCCTTACAGCTGAACCCACTCTATGATTCTATGATCCTGATACCTTCCTACAATTCACAGACAGAATGCATGTACATTTGGTCTGTACATAAAGGGGTTATTCTTCCAAATCTCTGTACGATGAAATTCTCATGTGAAGAGATTTTAATGTGATCTTTGAATGATATCCTATGCCTCCCTGGG